ACGGCGACGCTGTACCTCCTCTCGCATGTTATGGATCCGACGAAGAACACCTCCCGAAATTTCTACTGATACAATGCCGCCCCCATGGAACACCAGTGGCGAGATACTTTTGCAAAATGTCAGGAATATTGGTAGAAAATTTGACTGAGGAAATCACGAGATGGCAATCATCTCGATCCCCTCTGGATCTACTAGTATTCTCGGTCGGCGACCTCTTAGAGGGTAGAGGCGTGTCCGGACATGTCATCTATCGAGGCCTTACATAGATAGTTGGGTAGGGCACTACTTCATCTCGGAGCATATGCCCAAGTGTATGATGCTGAAATAGCCGGAGCCATTGAAGGCTTTGGTGCCGCTCTCCATGATCGGATGGCCTGATATGTCACAAACATTACGGTATTGTCAGAAGATAGATACGAAAGATATAGTTGGGTCTGAATCATTTGCTATATTCAATCTAAAGAGAGAAAGCTTTATGTACGCGATATTATCATACAAACTGTGTTCCGAGGCCGGAAGAATATCTGCCAAGCCTAACTAAGTCAAGGTGAGTATATTATTAATTCATTTTATTGTCCTTTCTGAGTCTATGACTATGTAGGACATGCAGGTCCTCTCTGCCTACAGGCCAAGAATACCTATGCCAGTATGATATCCCCTCCTATGCCTCCCATTCAGCTCCCCTCAAACAGTACCACCCCTCACAAGTCCTCATTCAATCATACACTAAGAGAAGCTCTTGGCCATTTATTATCTCCTCTCTCCACCCAACGAAATGATGGCCATTTGCGGGTGTATGGCAGCCGGGAAAAATCGAAAAAACCACTGGGAGCGGAGCTCTCCTAATACCAACATTAGCACTAGATCCGAAAACATAGTGACCCTTCTGAAGCGTTCGAAGAGGCCGGCCAGCTGGGTGCTGCAAACTTGTGGATACTTCGGGAAATTAACCTTCTGCCTTTCTAGCCTCCTTTCAAACCTTCTTCCCGAAGCTCGTGCTAAAATTTCAGAAAAGTCTTGACAGAGCGTGATTGCTGTATGGCAGCTTAGCTCAACTTCTTTTGTACCGTCCAGGGCGCTGGAGAGTGCCGTTGGCTCATCGACAAAAGAAGTCCTCCTGGTTATTAGGCCGTAATCTTAATCTTGGCGCCCACAAACAATCCAAAGTCGGAAACACTTCGAAAATATCAGTCCCAGCATGGGCTTCGGAGACATCTTCCCTCTCTCGCACCATATCTCAGCCGCCTGTCCTCTTTCAAGTTGTTTATCACAATAGAGAAACAGTCCCCCATAAGCCAGGACCCAGGCTTTGTATTTTTTGACCTAATTTCCTCTTTGCGGGTATAAATAGCGTCAAAAATTTGTAGTGGGTGATGTCTAGTAATTAGTAGGGCAAGCTCCTGTTTGAAATTGGAGCAACTTCTTTATTGGCCATTGAGGCGAGATGATATATGGTTAGATCGAGGTTGAGAACTCAGAAGATAATGGTGAGTGCTGCGTGATTGAGAAATCATCAAATGGAGATATGGATGTGTTAGCTTTCGACTTCGATCCGGATGCGATTCTTCTTAGCTATCCCAGATATGAAGAGGATACTGAGCAATTACACCCGCACCACTGGACGGTGAAGAATTCGTCTGTACCGACGTAATTTAGCAATCAAACAACGTTTATTGTGGAAATTCTGCATGTTTGATAGCCTCCGTAAACTCTTCTAGACGTGTTAGCGTCTAGAATAGTCTAGCACACAATATGTAACACGAAAGTTCTTCAAGTTAAAATCGAGGGTTAAAAATCTATATTTTGATTTGTATTCATTATCCTGATCTGGCGCCCTGTGGGCCCATGCAAGTGGCTATAAACCTATCTACATATTTATGTAGGAGGAAACCTCTCGGTTAAAAACCCCAAGCTTTCTGATTTAATTCTTAAAGTTTGCAATTTATCCTTCAGGAAGCACAGTTACACTGTAACGCTGTCGATGTGTACCAATCACGTCCCTTCTATCGACCCCAACCTTGTACATGTTCCGTCTCGTTCCCTGAGCTGCATATCGACTGCATTTCTCATGCGGAATTATTCTATCCAACCATAATTAAGAATCCATCGTGTGATTCTTTTCATATCGCTAGGATCGTTGATCATTGCTTCAAAGGATCGATTTCGGGCTCGTCTCCAGATTTCTCCTCTACCAATTGACCACTTAGGGCAGGACATGATCATGTGCTTGGGATTTTGTGATTGGTAGCCACACGGACAGCATGGATTGTAGACTCCTGGTATTTTTCTTCTATGCAAATACGAATTGAGCCCAATATGCTCGCTTCGAATTTGGATTGCTAAGCTACTTTGGGCCCTCGTCAGGTTTTTGTGGAGAGAAAATGGCGACTCCCGGAAGCTTATTTTTGTACGTCCAGAATGGCGGCATTGGTTAAACTTTGCTGCTGCCCAAGTTTTAGGATCTACTGAAGCAAATCTTTTAGGCTGTTAAAAATCTATATTGTCTAGGCCACTGATATATTTTGAAATCATCCAGCTTTCACTTCACGTGAGAGCTATAATTTGTACCCACATCTATGCGCACGTGCCGTGTCGTATTTGATTTGATTTAATTTAGCCCGATTTGGCGCCTCAAGGCCCATGCAGGTGTCTACGAACTCTAATATTTATTTAGGAAACCGTTAGGGTTAAACCCCCTCAACTTTTCAATTTATATACACTTTAAGGTTATATTACCTTCACGAAGTGCACTATTACTGTTGTATCCGGTGCGGATACCGTCCACTTCATTGCTACTGGCAGGAGATCATCTTTCCCCTGCTCTTCTCTCTCTCTGTTACGGCGTGCGCTAAGGATATTGGGGATCGCCGTCTGCCGAAGGTAAGGTATAAATAACTGTTAGGATTACATTTTCTAACGAAGGATACTTAGATATGATTCGATTGGCGAGGTGCCAGGTAGTCTAAGGTTGTGGAACCACAGAATAGTCGAAAGACACTAAGTCAAGAAGTCGAGTTGCCGAGCAGGCGATCAAGAATGATAACTCAGGGTGAACAGAAGTACGAAGAATGTAACAAATAACGAAAGACTGAGAATATCGGACTGTGAGAATATAAGATTATAACATTATGTAAATCTAGATTGCAAGATCAAAGATCAAAAGAATGAAAAATTGAGAAGCTGAAGAGCTACTATGTGGCAGCTCCAGCTTCCTTAAGTCTAACTCGAGATAGTACTTGAACTCAACTAAGACTATGACAAATACCGTCATGACGCCAGCCCCTCCATCTCTAACTGTCGGAGTTTTCTCGGAAACCTTCTCAGTAAACCTTTTCCCAAAACCTTTCTTAAAACCTTCTCATATCACCTTTTCCTCAGAACCTTCTCCTTGAAACCTCTTCAAGGATGCCTGGCCATAACACTCTCCCCCATCGTGGCCTCGACTTCAAGCGTCAGTCGAAACTGCTCTAGCCTTCCTTCCCGCTGGATCCATCCGGTTATCCTTGCAATATCTGTGGGGTTATTCATCATGGCCTCAAATGACCGGTTTTCTGCCTTTCTCAGTATTTCTCTGCCTTTGGCCCAGCTGGTGCAGGCCATGATCATATGCTTCACACTCTGGGACGGAGATCCACATTGGCATCGTGGGTTATCTCTTCCTGGCACTTTTTTTCTGTGCAGATAGGCATTGAACCCAATGTGTTCACTTCTTATCTGCATGGCTATGCCACTCTGGGCTCTGCTCAGGTGTTTTGCCGTGTCTTATTGTTGAGGTTTGTTGAGATATTGAGAGAGTATTGTCACGAGAGTAAGATAAAACCGATGGTAATATGCGATATATGGAGAATTTACGAATGTGGTGCTATTAGTGAACATCAGTGAGTGTTTATTGTGTTAATGAGTCTATAACTATGTAAGGACATGTAGATCCTCTCTGCCTACAGGCCAAGAGTATCTATGCCTCGGGTAGTATACTCCCTCCTATGCCTCCTTCACGACATCTTTTCAGTAGTAATACCCCCACAGGTCTTCATTGGAGTACACACTAAGAGGAGCCGTTATCCCGTCATTATCTCCCCTCTCCAGCCAACGAAGCGATGGCCATTTGCGCGTATATGGCAGCCGGGAAAAGTCTCAAAAACCACTGGGTGCGGGGCTCTCCTGTGATGCAGAGGCCGGCTAGCCGGGCGCAGTAGACCTGTATATACCCAAGAGTGTCTCCAATGTGGTGCCAGATGTGTGGAGTGATAGAGATGTGTTATATCATTAGGATGTGAGCACCTATAACTTGACCAACTAGGTGACTAAGCAGGATTTCCTTACACGCTCCTATGCTGCGATATCATAGAGCCGAGACAGAAGGCCTTGTGGGCAACCAGCATGGAGGACTATGTATTAAATAGCCAGTTACATATCAACTACTGGAAGAGATGTCTCAAATCCCTGTTACCCACGCAATACATGAGTACCGACTCTTCGCGCATGACGCTCGGGTTTTTTATTCTATCGGCTCTTGACCTACTTGGCGCGACTTGCCACCAGTTTCTCACAGAGCGGGAAAGTTTAGAAATCTCCAACTGGATTATTAACTGCCAGCATCCACACGGTGGCTTCTGTGGCTCACCCAATCATCGATTTCCTGACGAGTATTATGTCGATGACGAAGGTAGCCATCAAGATATTGATCCGGCAAACTTACCCGCCACATTCTTTGCTATTCTAAGCTTAGGGTATGTGGGCGACATAAAGAGAGTGGCGAGAAAAAAATGTCTACGCTGGTTAAAAAGCTTGCAAAGAGATGATGGTAGCTTTGGAGAACTTAGGACATGCGATGGTAGTATCGTAGGTGGTAGAGATATGCGATATTGTTATGTTGCTGCTGCCATAAGATGGATGTTGAAAGGTCATGAACTGGCAAAAGGAGAGGATATTGACGTGGAAATGTTATTACGGCATATCCATTCAGGCCAGGTAGTGTAGGAAAAACTTATCAAAGAATAATGGGGCTGACACTTGAAAAGACTTATGATGGTGGCATATCAGAATCTTCAAAGCATGAAGCTCATGGTATGCTCCATATTTATTCTACAAGCTAAAATCTGACATTTACATATTAGCGGGATACACGTATTGTGCTATTGCAGCGCTTTCACTTCTTAACCGACTTCCCAATCCTGCTGAAACACCAGAATATTCCACACAGATATTAACCAACATTCCAGAGACCATACGCTGGCTTGTGTCGAGACAAACAGAATATCGAGAAGATGAAGAAGATGAAGAACACGAGATAGAAGAAAATAACGAGGAAGGCCACCAGGATATAAACTCAACATTAAATGATATTAGTTCGGATTTTCATGGCGGATGCTTTATAGGATTCAATGGAAGATGTAACAAACTAGTCGATACTTGTTACGCTTTCTGGGTTATTGCATCTCTAGATGTATGTATAATTACATACAGATTGGATTGCCACACTGACACATAGTTAAGCTGATTTTCAGGGGCCAAGCAAACTTGGTAGATAAACTCGCAGCTCGTCGCTTCCTCTTGAAACAAACTCAACATCAGATAGGTGGTTTCAGTAAAATACCCGGAGACCCCCCAGGTATGAATCTCCTTCAATCTTATCTGTTACTGACAAAAGTAGATATTTATCACTCCTATCTTGGCCTTGCTGCATTGGCATTGATGCGAGAACCAGGTCTCAAAGCACTTGATCCGGCACTTTGTGTTAGCCTAGAACACAGGAGCAGAATTCTGCAATTACGAGATGATGCATTAGTACCAACACATATATATTGGAAGCATGGTTACTGCTTTTTAATTCGGGAAGATGACACAGAATTTGAATCTGAGACTACCTGCGAGATATAGAGGTCAAGAGAGGCAAAGTAAACTCCAGTCGACGAGAACCTTGACTGAATTTGACCCTAAAGATAAATGAAGTCCCATCATTGAGAAAAATCAGTAGATCATAAGGAGTTAATTTTTCATGAGTAAACCGGATCCAAAAGGAATGAAAACCGTCTTGGTTAACAGATACTTAGGTATTAGCAACAGAATACCTGTTACAAAGGATTATATCAAAATAAAAGTCCTAATAAGTATCGATTACCCAGCATCATCTCCTTGAATCCCTCAGTAACTAGTCATTAATTTCTTGAAATGACTGGTCAGTAGGTAAATCGCTTTGGCTTATGCTAGGAATCTTAGAAAGTTTACTACAAACTTCAAACTATGCTAGCTGTCGCTCGCGGAAGCTCTCCACTTGGAAGTCGGCTTAATTTTTATGAATATTGTATCTTACAAACTTATGGATAGCGTGGAAACTATCCGGTAACATAATGAAGTCTTCATCATTGTCAGGGGTACTTCTGGAGTCAATAGTAATTGGAACAATCTTTTTCACCCTTCAAAACTATAGATGATACGATTAATTCTCCGCAGATATCAATCTCAGTCTAACTCCTGCAAAAGTTTTGATAGTCGCGAAGAATTGTTGTAGAGGTGCACTTGGCAAGCTTTTACAAAAATTGTACGAATCACACAAGTGCAACTGGATATTTATAAAAGTCTCATAAGCCCACATTGATGAAGCGTGACGTAGCTACGTTTCATCTCTCACGACCAACGGCGAAGCACGAATTGTGCTAAAATTGTCTCTCGATTGAGGAATTTACAGAATTGAATACTAATGGTGATATAAAATCGCATAATTTGCTAGATCAACGAAGAATACGACCATGGATTTAGAGCTTAGTCATAGGAATAAGGCCAATTTGAAGTTCATGGAATTTGTTAGCAGTTAGAATTTAGATTAATTGGGGCTATCAAATAGGGCACGTTGATAGCACACACGTGACTAAAATTATGTACTTAGTTTCTCTTCCACAGCTACGTCAATCAATGCGCTCTACTACCTCATTGACTGAGGAGTCATTATTTCCTATATAGAATTAGACTTTTGTAAGCGAAAGAGCGCCAAGATTTCGGGCGAATGGTGGCTGAGATTGGGTGACAATCAGCTGTCCTGCATTATTATATTTAATTCATGTTATTGTCCTGTCTGAGTCACTGACCATGTAGGACATGCAGGTCCTCTCTGTCTACAGGCCAAGGATACTTATGCCAATAGCATATCCCCTCCTATGCCTCCCATACAGCTTCCCTCACAAGTCTTCATTCTATCATACACTTAGGAGTCCTTTGCCCTTCGTTATCTCCCCTCTCCAGCCAACGAAACGATGGCCATTTGTGGGTGTATGGTAGCCGGGAAAAATCGAGCACTCCTGCATATCAGTACTGCGATCTTTGGAGTTTCAGAGTTAGTAGTTTCAAAACTTGAAATAATCCCAAGGTAATCTGGCCATCTACACCTATTTTCAAGGCACTGTGTTATCGATATTCCGTGGGGTACGAGTTGGGTACAAGTAGGTTATAGGTGTGGAGTATGGTGGTGATTCATAGGAGTAGGAGGTATAAATTCAGCGTAAGGTATAGGGTTCACGGAAGAGATAAAGGTAAAATAAGTAATAGGTGAGGATAGTACAATAACGGCGGTCTTCTTTAGAGAAGAGATAAGTATGTGAACAATAGGTATGAGTGTAAAGGGAAGACGTTGCGTGAACAAACAAACTCCTTCACGCTGGGTATATATGTACATCAGATAATAGGACAGCCCTAAGCACTGTCTCTAACAGTATTACTACGCAATTCCTATGAAACGACCCTATGTTCCTGAGTCTGTCCTAATTGTTTAGGAACTCAATCTAACACCGAGTTGTGTTTTAGCATGGAACTGCCCGAGAGACACCATCCTGGCTTCTACTATGTTTATCCATGAAACCTATGTATGTATAAATTTCATATCAGGCCATAACCCTACACCCAAGAGGCATGATACGGATGTGTGATCCCTAAAGACTCACTACTGCCTATCTGTCCAGCTTTCTAGGCTGAGTAGGTGCATGAAAAGATGAAATAAAGAAAATTGCCTAGACAAAAACCACCCTGCGCCTTGCCCGCTTTCATATTCAACTGCTAGAGATATTCCAGTCCGTCGGGAAGGTTTAGCCCTCTCCATGTGAAGATTGCCCTGCGTAGCATCTCGTTACGGTTATATACTTATAGAATTCCTCACATCCGATTTCTGCCAACATAGCCCGACTTCTTGGTGGTGGTTCATGTCTGTACATTCTCCATTATCATAGAGCCGTTTGGCACTCTGCAAAGTGCTAAGGACATCTCTCTCTTCTATAGATACATCTGCCGTCGAAAATTTCATTCCCTAATCTCTCATGATTGCCCTTGAAATTCCTGTGTCCTGTCCTCACCGCTATTAGACGATGGTACGCCTACCTCGGCAATCCAAGCTCGTGTGGTTGTTTTCGTCCCATTAGGAGGTCTAATTCTTCGTACCGACTTGGTCTGTACTCAAGTCACCAGGACTTCACAGCTTTCTCGCTCTGCTCTCGGCCTGCTCTCGGACGAGCCGGTTCAGCGCTGCAAAGCTGTATTTCTGCTCACCTCTCAAGTCTAAGAGGTCTCTCAGAGCTGCCTTGGCCAACTTGTCCGCCTGCTCGTTTCCGGTAATCCCAGAATATCCCGGTATCTAACACACTTCGACTGATGGAAACTGGGCTGCCTGAGTCGTAAATTCGTCAACCATAGACCGAGATAATCTTGTTCGAACGCTTCGCAGAGCTCGCGCGGCATTAGGCTTGTCCAGAAGTACCTTTACTGGGCCTCCGTTTGCCTTCTCTATGGCTTCTTCCATGGCTTTCTGGATTCCTAACAGCTCTACGTCGTAAACCTCTGCTCCGGGCTTGGGACCTGATTCTGACCCTATCATTTGGCCTGCTTTGTATAAGGTGCATCCCCAGGCAGATTTGGCGGGGCCGCACGAAGAGCCGTCTGATTTAAGTAGAGACTGTCTTCGCTGACAGACTAGCTATCCATTGCTTGGCATGATCCGCTTCCGCTTGCTTGTCGCTTCTAGTGGATTCATTTGTGGGTTCAACTCATGGGTAATAAAGTTTACCCGGACCTTCGGCTGTCACAAAGATCTTTGAACTTATTTGGAGCCTCGTGAGGTAACGATATAGCACAGAGATCGCTCGGTTATTTTGGCCTGCTAGCAGACCTAGACAACTTATCGTTTCCTTTGGTCCCTCTCTAGATCTTAATACTAGCGGGTGCCATGTGTCTAGTCGTTGTATCTGTACAGCGGCCTGAAGTTGCCTTTTCTGTAGCAAAAACTCCGCTGGAGGAATACCTGGCTCTCGATACAGAAATATTTTTTTTTTGTTCATTAACGTGCTAGGTTAAGTGACTATCGCTGCACTCCTGCTGGAGCTTAAGCACGGGTGGGGCCGGGCCGGATCAGGTTAACTACTGTGAAGTACAGATATACCTCGTCCCACCTAAATGACCGGACCACCTTAGACTTCACCTATGTGTTGAATCATACCAAGCCTGACCGTCCAAAAATCCGCTGTCTACACGCCTTGGTACATATTCTTCCCTTAGGCTCGGCAACCACGCGCCCGAGCCCTTAACATCTTCATTGACTCCGAAATATAAATACTGTCCCAGATCTCATCGTTGCTCTAGCCTTGCACCTTCATATCGTACCGTTGGGTTGATGTCGTCATTGGAGATTTGTGTAATCCCCTCGTTGTATCTTCCTCATTTGTACACGTCCCGTTTCCATCATGACTTTCTCCATTAGGGCGTATGTAGGAAGGTGATGTACCGAGTATGGAGGTGAGTCGCAGGTGCAGAATCAGCTGAGAAATGGATCCTCGCAAATATATAAGGAGTTTGAGAGATGTCAGATGTTTGAATACGACCCCCAAATAGACCAAAATCCATTCGTGAATCGTATGTTGGTGGTGATGAGTTTTTAATCGACTTTATTCCGGCTGTGAAATCTCTGCCGACTAATTTTTCGACCAAAATATCGAGTGCAACTCCTTCAAGTCGAAAATCCATCGAATAAAATTCATCCCACCCTTTTTCGTGACTGAATCTCGGCTCTGAAAGAATATTTCACTCCCAGGCTCGTAGAGGACACCACTGACAGGTGTTCAGCTTTCGTCCTCCGCAGACCCATATTTAGCGTGGTACGTGTTAAAATTTACCATTATTAAGTTACCATAGTTGAGGTGGTTATGGTGAAAGAGGGCGATACGTGCAGGTACGATAAAGTATGATGACCCTGATCAGACTAGCAATGCATTCCATTAAATGTCGTTTTGTCTCAGGCATGTAGCAAGAACATGTAGTATATAGATTAGTTGTTTTAGATAGAGGGTTGGGAATCGAAGTGTTGGAAGCTGATTTGAGAGCCCATCATTATTACTATATGACCTTTATAAATGAATCAGACTGAGTTCACTCTGTCCGTCTTCTGTTGATTACGGCCATGCTCAGAGATATCCGAGACGTCCATCCAAATCTGTAACAGTACACCATGCTGGTAGCGCTGCTCGAACTACTTTTAGGATTGTGCTGTTCAGCAGATCGATATGCCGGCTGGCCCTGGTACCCACTTTCTTGTCACGCTTAGTAGTGATCCTAGTTAGCCCTGGATACCATAGCTCTGCTCCGTATAGTGCCGTGATGAGGACACAAGACTGCTACATTTTGGTCATTGGGCCCGGGTCGATCCCACGTTGGACCATGTTAATGTGACGTGTAAATTGAGTTTTGTGTTGGGCTTTCCCGCGCCATTCTTGAACATGCTGCTTAAAGGAGAGTTGGGAGTCTAGCCATACCCAGAGCCGCTTCACATATAGGGATGATTGAATGCTTTATCCCTGGATCTGAATGCCGAGTCCCGTGGTGTCTTCTCTTTTCTTTGGTCCTCCTCC